TATGAATACACTGTAGCTGTCTTCAGACACACCAGAAGAGGGCATCAGATCTCATTACAGATGGTTGTGAGCCACCATGTGGTTGCTGGGATTTGAACTCAGGACCTCTGGAAGTGCAGTCAGTGCTCTTAACCACTGAGCCATCTCTCCAGCCCACCAAAACTTTTTAAAAAGGTGTGTCAGGTGCTTAGCACACAGCTGGCCTAGCAGGACTCGTCCAAATGTTCACTTTTATTAGAACCTAGGAAGCAGCTCGGTTGGTAGAGAGCGTGCCCGGCATGCACACAGCCCTGAGTCCCGTTCCCAGCACTGCATAAAGCCACTTAGTGGCAGGCACATGCCTGTTTCCCAGCACTCAGAGGATGGAGACTTGATGGTCAGAAGTCAAGATCACTCCCGGCTACATAGCCAGTTCTAGAAAGCAAAGCAGAGGGGGAGGAGGGGAGGGAGAAGGAAAGGAGGAAAGAAGAGAGAGAGATCCTTCAGCAAGCCACTGGGTTGAGGGCTTAGACCTCATCCCAGGTAATATGACGCCTGAAAGTCTTTCAGTGGTAGGCAGTGGCCTGGCAGGAAATGAGTCAGGAACCTCCCAGGCAACATGGTGGAGCTGTAGGGCAGAGCCTCTAAGAAGCTCCACTATCGGCTAAGCCGACAGTGAAGGTTTATGGGACAGCCTGAGTTTGATCACTGATTTGACAGAATGGGAAGTAGAGGTGGGGTGGAGAAACTGAAGCTTATTAGAGTTCTGACTTAGCAAGCAGAAGGTGGCACCCCTAGCCAGAGGTGGACCTGAGAGGAAGGGCAGGGCTAGGCTGAGGTAGGACAGGGGTGGGGAGAACACTCAGTCAGCCCCGGCTTCAGGATCAGCTTCAGATCCAGTGCTTGACGATAAGGTTTAGGAGCCCCTTGTCCAGAGATGGGAGGTTGCTCCCGGGTATGTTAGAGAAAAAGCCCCATGTTAATTCTGAGTTACTGACAATTCAGAGTGAGCCAGCTATGAGGCAGAGGAGAGGAAAGAACCGGAAACCCAGAAACACGTGAGGACAGGGATGAGAGGAGGGAGGACATGATGGGCCTGGGGTCATGGCAACCACTTTTGTCTAAAGGATTGGGGAGAACTGAACAATGGAGCATCAGGCCCTGTGTGTGTGCATGTGTGTGTGCATGTGTGTGTGTGTGTGTATCCGCATGTTCGTGTGTGTGTGTGTGTGTGTGTGACACACACAGGTGGGCATTTGTAAAAGAAAAGAGGGAAAAGGATGAGGGTGGTCTTCTCCTGGACAAATTCTTGCAAGAGCAGATACAATGACTAGCTCTCACAGTTAGAGTGGGGCCAGGAGGGAAGGAGAAGCCAGCACCAGCATCCCAGGGGACAGATGACTGACCCTGTGGAGGAGAAAAACAGGAGGAGGGACTTCTTAAGAAAAAAAGAGTCAAAGAGGATGGAGGACCAGTCAGCAGCACCTGCAGTTCACTCCTCTCCTGCAGGGCTGTGGGCGAGTCTGTGGTGCCTCTAAGCCTCTGGGCCAGTGTTTGTGACCCTCCCATCTCTACCAGGTGTACCAGATGCTGGCCCTAATATGCTGGGGTCAGTTCACAGTCGCCTGTGAGGGCCAAACTAGGAACATTTCAAAGTCCTTCCAAAACTGTGGTCAATCCTGGCCATCATTGAACCTTAGCTAAAGTAATATCACAGTAACGGAAGTGGCCAACGCTACAGATCAGGCTATACCACAGACAGCACATGGATGAACAAGCCTTTTACACAATCCACGGCAGAGTTCCTACATCCTTGTAACACTTCCAAAAACCCATCAAATCTCATGGGAGACAGGTACGTGGTAGTCTCGGGGGAGGGGACAGAAGGGCAGGGCCCCCACGTACCCAGGCTGAAGAGATTGACGGCACCATAGTCCAGAAAATAGCAGATATGCCGGGCGTTCTTGGACATAGAGCTGAATGTGTGTGCGCAGCTGGATGCGAAGGGGTACACGCAGCTGGTCCACATGTACACGAGCATAGGCCACGAGTAGCTGTCATTCTGGATGTCTGTCATATACAGGGCAGTCATGAACCTCCACACAAAGAACCTACAACAGAACATGCACCCGCTCAATCCCCTTGTGAGTGTTTTCTGCCTTCCGCCCCACTGGGAGATGCCCCATCCCATGAATCTTCACTTAAGTTGCAATAACATATACTAGAGAGGCTGCCGCGAGGGCGTGCCTTTTTGACTTGAAGCAGCGAATTGGGGACAGACAAGTAGGGTAAGAAGATAGTCCTTGGGGATAGAATCCCCCCAACAGCATCTTTCCCAGCATATTCTCCAGTCTCAGCTTACATACCTCTAAGAATAAGGGTCTCATCCCCTCTCATGGTAGCTTTGAGTGTTGGGAAGGTCCTTCTAAGTCATATTTGCATGGCCTCTAGCCATATGCAGGTCCCCCTTACAGAACCCTTTCCCTTCCACAAACCACTACTGGAGAGCAAGGTCCCTTTGTCCACAGTGTCTATCAAGGAAGGGGACTCCACAAATCCCAGTAACTGAAGAAGGGTCACAAAGCATTTCTTGCTACAAGGGTGATCTTTTCCTATTGTCTAGCACAAGCTGTTTGCTGTTCCTCCCAGATTTTCCTAGGCTGTCCCCAGTGCTCTTGGAGTGGGCCATCTGAGAGCCTGGCTGGGTACTGGGAGCTGTGCCGATGGCTCGGCTGAACACGGACCTCAAAACACACAAGCAGCGGCAGGCAGTACGCAGTGGTATAAAATTCAAAAAGCTGAAATTTAGACAGACATAACGGGAGGTAAAGGAAGATCATCCTTAGTTACATAGAGTTCAAGGCCAGCCTGGGCTACAGACCCTGTCTCAAGAACCTAAACCAAGCCAACAAGACAGCCAACTGTGGCCCATCCTCCAGTTGGAACACCTGTTCAGAATCTTTAGAGTCTCAGGCACAGATGATGTGATATCTGAGGGAGATGAGGAACAGGAAGGACCACAGGAGATGTGAGGCCGGGACACATAGACAAGGCTTTCTGAGAAAGCTCTGGAGGGCACACAGATGCTCCAGAGAGAACCAGGGGCCAGAGAGACAGCCTAGCTCTCTTCCCCTCTGCAGTCTTCAGTTTGTCCACATGTACAGGCTCTTGTTGATACTGCTTTGAAACGGGGTCCTAGTGTATAGCCCAGGCTGGACCTCAAAGTCACAATCTTTCTGCCTCAACTTTCCAAGTTCTAGGATTACAGGTATATACCACCACACTCAGCATTAAGTCTTTAAAACTTTTTTTTGGTATTTATTCTTATGTATATGGAGTGTACTGTGGTGGTGGTGGTGGTGGTAGTGGTGTGTGTGTATGTGTGTGTGTGTTTGTGTGTGTGTGTACACACATGCATGCTCTATCACATATGTAGAGGCCAGAAAACAACTTTGTGGAATCAGTTTTTGTTTGTTTGTTTGTTTTTGTTTTTCGAGACAGGGTTTCTCTGTGTAGCCCTGGCTGTCCTGGAACTCACTCTGTAGACCAGTCTGGCCTCGAACTCTCAAACTCAGAAATCCGCCTGCCTCTGCCTCCCAAGTGCTGGGATTAAAGGCATGCGCCATCATCGCCCGGCTGGAATCAGTTTTTTTCCTTCAACCTTTACATAGGTTCTAGAGATCAAACTCAGGCTGCCAGGCTGGCTTGCCAATTGTCTTTACTCCCTGGCCAGTCTCGTCAGCCGCTTTAATGTGGCTAATGGTTTTTTTGAACCACTGCACCTTCTTACCACTGCCCAGACTGTAGGCCCCAGGCCAGTCAAGATTCTGTACGGATCACCTACTTCACCCCAAGATTGTTTTCTCTCTCTCCTCCTGTTAGTTGCTGGATCTCCACTCTGACTTCTGACATCTAGGTGGGTTGGCAGTTCCACGCTGAAGCACGCTGACTTCCTGATACTCAGGACCACTGGCCACACTCAAGGACTTCCCACCTATCTCAGCCTCTCAACAATCAAAGGATTTGTTCAGCCTGGGCCACCAGCCCACAGAGGTCTGAGTAGGACAGTGACCTGCTGCTGTCCGAGGTCCTCCTGGGCCTGACAGATCCCCAACTCTCCAGATGTTCAAGCTCTGTTTCTTCAGATTCGACCAAAATATCCCAGCGTTTGGGAGAGACTGCATCTGCTCTGAACATATATGGACATTTTTCTTGTCCTTAGTACGTGAACAATACAACAACCTTTGACATAGCATTTACTTTGCCTCGGTATTTTAAGGAATCTAGGGATGATTTAAAGGACATCAGAAAGTAGGAGGAGAAATACGTAAATACTGTGCCACTTGACAAAGGGTGAACTTATAGGCTCCGGTATCTTTAGGGGACCCTGGAACCGATCCCCATAGATGCTCACGGAGAGTTGCACCATGATCTGGGGATGTGACCTGCCCCACCTCTCCATTACCGAGCGAAAGCACAACGTGTGTAAGGCAGGTCTTCGCTCCACCTTTCTCAGCAAGGAGCCTCCTGGCCTTCCCGGAAGCCCCATCTGTCACCCTTACTTCCCAGAGCTTGGCTCCTAGCTGGCTCTATTAAAGGTGACCAACGGTATATTGCTACTCTCCCTAGACAAATACAAGCACCCACAACCATGTCTGTGTCTGTTGTTGTTGCCAGAGAAGGTCTCATGTAGCCCAGGCTAGTCTCAAACTCACTATGTAGTTGAAGATGACCTGAAACTTTTAGAGCATCCTGAGACGCTCCATGTGTGGTTTATGCAGTGTGAGGGAATGAACCCAGGGCTTCTTGCACACACTCTACAAACTGGGCCACATCGCCAGCTCTTGTTATCTTTGCTTTATCGGGGTTTCCTCTCAGTCTCAGCAGCCTCAAGACATTGAAAGAGGTTCATGTCTGTTCTATAGGCAGAAAATGCCAGGCTCAGAGAGATTAAGTCACTTGCTCAGGTCAGTGACACTGTACTAAAGACTTCTTGAAGACCTAAAAAAGCCTTTAAGACTGAAGGAGATGAAGATAAATGCTACTCAGTCGATAGAAGTGTTAGATCCTGTAGCAATCCACAGCCTGACACTTAGTCTGTGATAGTCCCAGCTTCTTGTCCTTCGGTCATACATGCACCTATACCCACAGGGAGACCCCTGGCCCTAGCTCAAAAGCCTCCCTGCCACCAGCTGAGTTTTTAAAGTCAGTCCCCAGGGATCCAGTAGGAGATAGGCTGTCCAGGGAGCCAGAAGGTACCAGAAGGGTAGCAAGTGCGTCCAGATGTTGAGGGTCTCATTGGTCATTTGGAAGAGGCTGAGGATGCAGGCAGTGGCGGAACTCTGTGGGTGTCGGTAGCCAAAGAGGATGCCTTGCTCATGGAACACCTGTGGAGGGAAGACAGGGAAGGGGGTTGGAGGTGAGGCAACAGGAGGGGTGTCCTGGCTAGCGTTGTGTCCTGGGTGGTTGATTAGTTCCTTGTGCTGGTCCTCTCCCTTCCTGCCTTTGTCCACTCTTCTCCCAGGAGCTTCTAAGATCCTCCAAGCAGTCCCAAGCCAGCTGAGGTCCGAGGGCCAGGCCGGCTTCGGGAGGGCAGACTGGCTTTGCACTCCCGACTATGCTTACCCTGGGCATGAATGTTGTCTAAGAGTCCGTGTTTGTACTCTGCCTGAGGCCTATGGCCTAGTCTTTAGATGCCTTCGTGGCTGGCTCGCATGTATGCTGTCTGCCCGAGGCAGCCTGCCCTGGATGTCAGAGGCTGGAAGGGCGATCTCTGCAGAAGATCCTCCCAGTAGGAGGATGTATTCACAAGGCGCTTCATAAAGGCCTTTTGATGATGAGGCCCGTGATGCCAAAGACTGGACTGTGGGAAGAGGAGGCTGGCCACTGCAGGATCATAGAGCCATGGTCCCCAGAGAGGCCTCCTGGTAAGCACTGTTCTCTCGTCCCCCAACATGTCCAGTAAGAAATGTAGGCTGCTCAGGTAGAACCGGCAGGTTTTGACTTGTCTCAAGTATTGTATTATATCCATTTAAAATGGTAACAAGAGAGCTAGGAGATAGCTCAGTGGGTGAGATGTCTGTTGTGCGACCGTGAGGTCAGATTTCAAGCACCAGTGTAAAGTATCAAACACAAAGCAGTGAGGCCCTGTGATTCCAGTGCTGGAGAGGTAGAGACAGAAGGATCCCTGGGGTCTACTGGCCAACCATTCTACCCAATCAGTGGGCCCTGGGTTTAGTAAGAGACCTTGCCTCAAAGAATGCAGTGACAGTTGGGTGTGGTGGCACACACCTTTAATCCCAGTACTCAGGAGGCAGAATCAGGCAGATTTCTGTCGGTTCAAGGCTAAGTCTAGGTAGCAAGTTCCTGAGCCAGCCAAGGCTACATAGTGAGACCCTATCTCAAAAAAATCTAACAGTTAAGATGGTGAAACACTGGGGAAAGATACTCAGCGCCAACCTCTGGCACATGCACTCATGCACACAATGACTGACAAAACCACCAGGTAAGTGTCCCCCACCCCTGTTCATCTCAGAATGTGAAGACAAGTGGAATGTGTTCCTTCTATATCCTTGCTCTACAGAGATGTACACACCCACAGTGGGACAGAGGTTGGGGAAAGCACAGAAAAATAAGCTAGTTGGATAACAGAAAATGAATCTTCCTCTCTGTGTTGCTTAGCTTAAGGTTCCTTCATACTTCCGGCATCTGGGTCCAGATGGCTCTTTGTTGTGGAAGACTGGCCTTTTGTGTGCCTGTTACCTGCTGGAAGTACACAGTCTAACTAAAACCCGTCTCCATGCCAAGTTGTGACAACCCAAACTGTCTCTAAATATTGGAATGGTCTCCTGGAGACAGCATCTAATTCTGGCTAAGAACCACTGATTTTGTTTGTTTTGTGATAAAGGCTTGCTCTGTAGCCCAGGCTTGCTCTGACCTCAAACCCTTGGCAGTGCTCCTGCTTCAGCCTCCAAAATGCTGAGACTACATGTGTAAGCCGTCATGCTTGGCTAGAACCATTTGATTTCAATGGTTCACACTGTCATAACCTTTGGAAGGTAAATTATAGCTAGTGAGATGGATTCGTGGGTAAGGGAACTTATAGTCAAGCCCAATGACCTGAGTTCATTTCCAAAACCCACATGGTAGAAGGAGACAACTGACTCCTGCAAGTTGTACTCTTCACACACACACACACACACACACACACACACACACACACGTGAAATAATCATACAGGAATGAGCTAACAGAGAGAAATTCTTACAGTGATGCTTTGTGTTTAGTCCCCATGATGGAAGTCAAGTCACAGAACTTTCTCAAGCTTCCACTTTGCTTTCTTGTGGGAGGAGGGGAAAGCTGCAGGAGACCAACTGGCTTAGCACCCATGAAGCCTTGGGTTCCACCCCACAGCAAAGCCCTGTACAGAATACAGCTGTTCCCACCTCTGGCTGTTCTGGTCAAGAATTCTCACAGAACTGTAAAAGAAAGTAAGCAAAAAGGCATGTTCCAAATCATGGAAGAATGAAGCACTTGGGAGAATGAGGCAGGAGGATCTCTACAAGTTCAAGGCCAATCTGGCATACAGAGCAAGACTTCATCTCAAAAACAGAAGAAGAAAACTGATGCCCCCTGTGGTACACCATGGGGCCTATGAGATGGGACAGTGGTGACAGGCATGGTAAGTAAGCAACTCAGAAAAGGAAAGGTTTGTTCTTTATAATGCCAGATCACAGTCCATCACTGAGGGAAGTCAAAGTGAAAGCTCAGGGCAGGCCTAAGCTATTCCACACATCATTGCCTCCAATCAAGAAACTCATTTCACATCCAGTAAATACAGCAGCAACCGTGGAGAACACTGCTTGCTAGCTAGCTTGTTCACAGGCTCAGGCTCAGCTAGCTTTCTTATATAGCCCAGGGCCACCTGCTCAGGGAATGGTGCCACCCACAGTGGGCAGGTTCCTCCTAAATCAATTACCAGTCAAGAGAATCCTCCATAGACACAGCCACAAATCTGACCTTCCTCAGTTGGGATTCACCTCTCAGATGACTCTAGGTTGTGTCAAGTTGACAGATAAAACTAACCAGGGCAGCAGACAATGCTGCTTTCTGATTTTAGCTATCAATTTTAGGAAACTGTTAAGTTCAATTCTGGGTAAAGTGGTTAGGCAGTGGGAATGGAGACAGAGACATAGATTTATGGTCTCACGAAGAAGTGCAATTGGGGCCTGGAGAGATTGTTCATCAGTTAAGAGCACTTGCTGCTCTTGGGCAAGACCTGGGTTCATTTTGCAGTACCCACATGGCGGCTCATAACCACTTGTAACTCTAGTTCCAGGGGATTTGACATTGTCTTTTGGCTTCCTTAGGTACCAGGCACACGATATGATTAGGGGCCAGTGAGAGGGGTAAGTGGTGGGTGGTGGGATCAAGTTACATGACATACATGTGCTACAATGTCAAATAAGTACAACATGTAAGCTCATACACAAGAAATCAGAAAGGTTTATTTATTTGTTTGCTTGTTTGTTTATTTTATTTTTTTTCTAAAACAGGTTTCTTTGTGTAGCCCTGGCTGTCCTGGAACGCTCTCTGTAGACCAGGCTAGCCTCGAACTCAGAGATTCACCTGCCTCTGCTTCCCAAGTGCTGGGTTTAAAGGTGTGCACCACCCCTGCCTAGTTTTATATTTTAAAAGAATTACAATTTCTGTTAACTTTGGGCCTTTGCTAATAAAAGTGATTTGCTCCATGCTTTTTTTAAAAGACAAATCATCTTAAATTCTATCTTTTGGGAAAAGGATCTCTGGTAGCCCAGGCTGGCTTTGAACTAGATACATAGGATGACCTTGAACTTCTGTTCTTCCTGACCTTATCTCCAGAGTGTTTCGACAACAGCAAGCCCTACCACACCCAGTTTATAGAGTTCTAGAGATAGAACCCAGGGCTTCTATCATGTTAGGTGAGCACTCTGTCACCCAAGCAGCATCCCAGACCTTCTGTCAGTTTGATTTTCCACTCTGCTGAAGTGTCTGGCTTACGGTGGACATCCTCCTACAATGGGCACAGGGATCTTGACCTTCAGTCTCCACCAGGGCTATGGACAAGGAAGCAAACGGTTCTCTGCTTTTGATGTCTGTAGAATGGGCTCTCCCTAGTTTGGAATTCAGAAGGTCCTCTCTCAGAAAATGTGGCTCCCAGGGGCTTCTCATTGATCCATCAGACTACATTTCAAGTGTTTTTTTTTCTTTCTCATTTAAAAATAATCCAGTCGGGGTTGGGGTGGGGTACTTGGAAGATGTCTCAGAATTAAGAGCACTTGTTGCTCTTGCAGAGGATCTAGGGTCAGTTCTTAGTAGGCAACTCAAAACTGTTAACTCTACTTCTCAGTGATCCAGCACCCTCTTCTGGGCTCTTTGGGTACTGCATGTATACATATACATATACATATACATATACATATACATATACATATACATATACATATACATATACATATACATATACAT